TAAATGGGCCCTATTTAATTGACTTAAAGGAAATTAAGTGCTTATATAAATTCTTAGAAATGTAAGAGACTAACCCAAAGGAATTTCAGGTTCACGTGAACTAGAAAATATTCAGTATTGAATTAATATTTGGTATTAAAGTTAGTTTGAGTTTGTTGCTTTAATTAATACAGACATGTCTTTAGAGCTATCAACATTAAGTATAATCCTTTTCTTGTAACTGAGTTTACTAGAAGTCAAATAAGATCTTATAACTCTTAGCAAAAAGAGAAATAACTTGGTATGATGAAATATTTATGTTAAATGTAAATAAAATAGCTTTTCGGGAAATTCTTTACAAATAACTGTATTTTAGGACTATCTACTTAAAAATAGTCTTTCTAGATATTTGGTAACTTGAAACTTGAGAATTTTTCTGAATTAAATTAAATGATGGAAGTTTATTAAATATCTAGGTCATCCCCAAATGAAATAAGGTAACTGGAATATTAATTACTGAACATAGGCTTCCTCTACAGAGAAATTACAGATATTTAGGACTACTAATAAATACATTTGATGCCACACTGAGACTTTTTCTTTAAGAAAGCATGTGTTTTTTTTAGAAGTTATAAATAGTATTTAAAGTTTGCCAATCTACATAACACTAATGTAGAAGACAATTCGTTAAGTGCTTACTTCCTAGTTTTGACTGCAAACTAAGGGTTTTTTTTAACAGTTGAGAATTCTAATTAATATATGTAATTAAGACTACTATGTTAATATGCAAGAAAAAAGAAGGTTTAAGAATTACACGTGCATTTTGCTAAGGAAAAAGAAAAGAATTTTGTCCTAAAGCTAATTATTTCTAAATGGGAAAGAAAATAAGGAACAGATTAATATGGATATAGAAAGTTGTATGAGATTTGTGAGAAGAAAAAGAAACTTTAAAAAGGAATTTTATGTGTGGTCAGGACTGACTACTATTAGAATAAATTGAAGTTAAAAGGGCAAAATCTCCTTAGAATATTGATCTGTTTTTTAGAGCAGATTGTGCATTTTCTTTACATTTTAAGTAATCTGTGGTAACTTTCTATACTTGCCTTTGAAATCTCTTATTGTCACTCAGTTAAGTGAATAAGTATTGTTTCACATTACCTATGATGCTATTTGATCAGGTGTTTTAAAACTTTTTGATGTTTTTGACAAACTTCCTGAAGCTCAAGTTCTAATTGAAGTTCATTTGACCTCCAGCTAACTTTGAGGTTTTCCAAAGGGCCCTGGAGCACCTCAAGAGAATTGTTTTCTCTCCTTATCAAAGAGAGAAATATTAAGCTAATTAGGCTTATTTGGTATGTTAAATTACATGGGAAGCATTGCAAATGAGTGGTGATAAATATTCTTAGGTTATTTTGCAGGGAGAAATGTTATTAAGTATTCTAGGAACTATTGGAATTCCTAAAAACCTGCTCTGTCTTGGTAGAATGTTACCAGTTGTAGCTCTGATTATTATCTTAAAATGTTATATGTAACAGCAGTTAACAAGTTTCTTTGTCAACTGCATTGTAATCAGATCTTTAACCATGAGTTTTTAAAGTCTTTGTTGTTCATAGAAAGTTATTGTTTGTGATGCTTTTGCAAAAATGCTTTGTCTTCAAGAAGATTAACAGAAAGGACTTTGGACAAGCATAGGTTTCTGATAAAATTCAGGTCACACACTGAACTGGGTAAGAAATTTAAAAATTCCAATGGAAATCCTGATGGCTTCATAAAACTGTCAACAAAAGATCAAGAATTAGTTACATAGGACTGAGTGAATTGATAAATATGGTTATAGTTTTAATAATTTTTTTGTCTGAAATATTACTGGCTTTTAATCTGTTTTCCAGATATAAGGAAACCTTTCCCCTTAAGCTAATTATGACTTACAGCAATTTGGTAAATTATACCTTTGTAAGTAGAATTGAAACATTTATCTTTTCTCTCTACCTGATCCCTCTGAAATTGTAAACCCTTAGGTTACTAGCAGCCTTATCTGGTGAATAATGGAGGCTACCTCCTGACAGATGCAGGAATCTCAAGATATTTTTCAGACCTTGAGAAGAGAGGAATTCACCCTTACCGAAATCTACAGATACTGCTGGTGGAATCTGAGGGCAAGCCCTTGGGCTGCCTTTCCTGGCATTGAGAAATCTTAGAAATTCAATCTGAGATTCCTTATAAAAAGTTCCAGCAAAGCCAATTTTTTTAAGCCTATATGATTAATTAATTACACTTGTGTAAATAATCAGGCCAAGTATTGAAGCCAGACTTATTTTTGCAAAGAAATTTGTCTTAATTTGATAGGAATCAGGGTAATTTCAGACAGAAAAATTATGTTTCAGTGGATATTAAATTCTAGTGTTGTTAATTGAGGTCTGTGTTTACTGCCTAAGACTCACTTCCCAGATAGCCCCCTGTTTTTATGTTACATTATTGTAAAGTTTAATTGGATTATTAAAAGGACACTCGAAGGTTTGTTTCTGAAGCTTATCACAGTAATCTATCCTTGGGTGCAGGTCAGATGCCCCACGATCTACAACCAGGAGATTATGCATATTGGAAAAGCCATCATTTAAAGGACCGTCTCCAACCTAAATTGAAGTGTCCTTATCTGGTGCTCTTAACTAGCTCATACACAAAAAAACCTGAAGGAAATTGACCTTTGGATTCATATTTTCTGCTTCAAAAGGGCCCCTGCACTGGACTAGTCTATACAGAAAACTGCTAACTTCAAACTCACCTTAAAACAGAGGAGAAGCTACATTCACACCAGGGCAAGAAGAAGATGACATCAGGAGTAGATGGCTATCTGAGGATGCTGGACCTGACCCATATGATTATTTGTAATGTTTTCAATATAATAATTACATTAGATAGTAATGCATTCTACAATTATAATTATATAAATATTTATTTATACATAATACATTTAATATAAATATATATTTAATATATAAATAAATATATGTTATATATAATTGCATAATATGATTCTTTATAACATAATATAATTCTTTATAACAATTTCTTAGACTTTTGCCTAAATTTTCTATCATGGGCATAAATCCTATGCTGAGTTTAAAAATTAATCCAGTTGTTGGGCTTATGGTTAATCACCCACATCCAGTACTTCTGGTTACCCTGGTGGATTTATCCTCTGCAAGGCTCTAACTGGATGGGCCTTAGGAAATTTATTCTAGAAGAGAGATGTCATTGTTCTGTTCAGGCCACTTGATATTACTACTCAACTTGGCCAATCAATGGTATTTCCTCTGACCATGGTTATAAATAAGAATTTTCTTTTAAAGTCACTCGAGCTCCATCAGAGCAACAAGCTAAATTTCAGTCAAATAATACAGATTCCTGATTACTAGAAGTAGGACCCTCCTTCAATTACAGGATGGAGTTATATGACTAACATCAGACTGCGGTCGTTGAAGTTTAAAATCCCCGCTTACATTGGGAACAATTAGGCTGGGTACCTTATGAATAATACCAGTATATCATTACTTTTAAGATAGAGGTTGGTACAGAACAGACTGGGTCAGCTGAGCTGCAGATATACTGGGCTGCACCCGATGGAGCTCTTGGCTTAAATATTTACTTATGACCCTATGAGTAATGCTACTAGCTGTATTATTTGTCTTCTGCCTATCTTTACAAGATTGTTGTTTCTTGCATTACCAGATGTGGGGCTGAGCCTCTGATAAAAATGATGGCTAGGCAACTTGAAATCATTGACCAAATATATAGTTCTTTATGACTTCAAGATTATAATAGTGTAACCCCAGATATGGGAAGAAGCAACAAGAAGCAACTCTCTATCTGGAACTTAACAGACCAGTAAGACAGGTGGTCCAGAGACTTTTGGCTGCTGTTTGCAGGGCACAGTCCAGTAATAGCACACTGAGTGGCCTATTGACGAAATCCTGGCCTGACCTAGGAAAGAGCATTCTTAGCACCATGGGATAAAATGGTCAAGAACTCGTTGAATTTATAACCTTAAGGGGGCACTGCCAGATAAAGAGGGTCGCTCACCACCTGGTTCTACAGGGATTAAGTCACCAGCCACTGTGGTGGCTGATGTTCAACACACCCTGAAGGGAGTTCAGGACAGAGCTCAGTCATGAAGCAATCTGTGCTCTGGGAAAACTGGTAGAACAGGCCTTCAGACAGATGTTTTTAGGAGAACATTTTATCCAAATTTCTTTCATCTTCCCGTACTCAGAAAAGCACTAAAGTCATTAACGGAGATATCTGTTCCTCGTGACTAGCAGCAACCTTCTACCCAGATGTGTGCTTGATTGCCCTTCTCCAAAATCACATATATGCTCACCTCCCATACCTGCCTCTTAGGAGCAGTTCCTCAGAGCTATCTGAGAGGCAGTCTCCTGGGCCATAGATAGTCCTCAGTAAGTCCTCAGATAAACTGAAACTCACAGCTCTCACGCTGTGCATTTTTTAATCTCAGGTGACACTTGCTAATGGAGGACTTGACGATAGTCAAGTTCCGAGGCTGGGGACCAGCCATCGTGTCCACAGAGCAGGAATTAGTACCCCGCCCTTACCTGAAGGCCAGCTGGCTCTCATCTTAGAGGCCAAGGATAAGTGCATCTTGCCTTGGGGTGACTGGTCTTCGCTCGGGGGTCTCCTGCTGAGCATGCCTCTGGTCTCCTTCCTGTTTACTCCCTTATCTCCTCTGTCAGCACCGGGAGTCCTCTAGGAGCTGGGAAAGAAGGGACTGCTCCGGAGGACAGCTTTGCCTGTCTGTTGGAAGCTGCCGAGCCCCCAGTCACCTGGAGCTAACAGAAACCTGAAGCCTTTGCGTGGTCTCCTTCTCAGCGGGCGGGGTTACGCGATCTGCCCTTTGAGGGTGAAGGAAGTTGCAGTCTGAGGATTAAGACTCGTTTTGACATATCAGGTTGGGCGGCACACCAACCACTCACTCTGCTTTCTCTTTCCTTCAGGCTGGTACCATCATGCATCCTTGGGTAGCCATTCCAGGCCTCATCCTACTTCTGACAAGTAAGTAAATAGGTGGGCTGTGGTTTGGAAGCCCTGGGGATGGGGGAGCGTAGGGGTGTGTGGGTGTGGTGGAGGAGACAGATGTTCTTGGGCCTTGTTGGAAGATAATGGGGTTAACTAGTGAGCAAAGAACCATGCTGAAACCTTAAGCCAAAGAAATTGCTTACATGCTATGAGTTACAACATCTATGGGTAGGTGAACAAGGCACCATGTACAACAGAGGCTGCCATTTGTGTTGAAATCAAAAGGGAATAGATAGATGGTTGTGCATGCATGAACTACTCAAGTGTATGTAGAAATCAGTCATGGTTGTTATCATGGCAGGGAGGGGATGGGGACAAGGAATGGGGATCTGGTGGGAAGTAGGTGAGCCCTGTATTGTACTATTGTGTGCCCTTTGAGTTTTTAAACCGTGTACAACTATTTCTTTTAAAAACAAAATATTTTTGTTCAAAATATTCTGTGAGATAGGAAGGATTAAGGAATGGACATATCCTAAATTTTAAAAGCATTCTCGGGGAGGAGGGTGTAGTCCTGGGTTCAATTCCCAGTGCTTCCTTTAAAAAATAAAGAAACCGAATTGCTCCCCCACCTCCTAAATCATTCAATCAATCAATCAATAAGAAACTAGACTAGACTGTAAAGAAAAAAACACACCTATCTCTTGAGGTGGGACTATGAGGAAAAGTTTGGTTTTTATTATGCTCCTATACCTTAAGTTTTTATAATTAGCATGTATTACTTTTGTAATCCAAAAGTGATATTAAGCAAAATTAAATATAAGAATTCTAGTGAAAAAACTATTTTATGTAACAATGAATTACAAATAAGCTTGTAGCAATGAGTTGAGATATAACAATGAGTTCCAAATGACCCTTATTTTGCATAACAGTGAGCATTTTATTCCCAGAGCATTTCCCAAACTCACAGCAGTCAGCTATGATTAGCTGTTGTACCTCAGATTTCTTTTAGGGACTACCTGGTCTGCATTTGGCAATACAAATTTTTAAAGCCACAGCCACAGGCGAGAGTTTTCCTGCCTCTGTTTGTTTTTAAGTGACAAAATTTAGTATTTGACTGACTATTCTCCAGTTCTTTGGTTTTCTCTGGGTAAGTGGACCTTGCTCCATTGCAGGACTGTCATCAACTCACCAGAAGGGATCCCTGCTTAAAATTTTTGAATTGACCCTAAAACCCGTAATAAGTCCCGGTTCCTGAAAGTATTGTTTACCTATTTTTCTAAAAACTGACTTCTAAAGCATTTACCAGGCCTTCTAGCCAGCAATGCTTTAAGCTAGACATTAGCTCTGCTTTTTTTAATGACAGAGGCATTGTGAGGTGACTTCCTTTGCAAGAGCCATTTTAAAAATTGCAATAAAAATTGAAAATTAAAACTTTAAATGCAATAGAGTTTTTAAAACAGACAACTGAGAGTGATTCAATCTAGGGAAGGGGAAAAGCCATGTGTGTGGATTACCTATTCAGTAAGCAAGTGCCTGTCAAACACAGGGTGGAATACACACTCATGCATTCGTGGAATGTCATTTGCTTCATTTGGAAAGAAATTTGGTCATGTTTACCAAGAGACCGAAAATATTTCGGCCCTATATCCTGGTAATTTCTCTCTTAGAAATCTATCCTATTAGGAAACAATCCTGAATACAGAAAATCGTTTCTATTACATTTCATCTATAATATATCTAATAAATAGTAATGCTGCTAAAGAATATGTAACAGAGAAAAACGCTTATCCTAAATTTTTAAAATTCAAGATATTGTCAGATGATTACAAACAACAACAACAACAAAAACCTATATAAAGAAAAAAAAAGGAAAATAAAATTAAAATTGAAATATTGAGGCCTCATGCTCCGGTTTCTTTTTGTTTACAGATGGTGTCATGTCTTACGTAAAAGTGGTTGGGATGGTGGGTCAGCCTGTTGTACTGCCCTGCACCTATACTGGCAAAGTCACAACCATGTGCTGGGGCCATGGGCCATGTCCTTGGTCTCGCTGCACAGCTGAAATGATCTCGACTGATGGATATGGTGTCACCTATCAGCAGAGTCCGCGTTATTCACTAAAGGGAGATATTTGGAACGGGGACGTGTCTCTGACCATAGACAATCCAACCGTGCAGGACAGTGGCCTGTATTGTTGCCGTATTGAAAGGAAGGGCTGGTTCAACGATAGAAAACTCACCATATCTTTGGAAATAAAGCCAGGTGAGCTTGTCTTCTTCTCCCTTTGATCACTTCCAGTGGGTTCACAGAGATAAGAGTTTTCTGTTTGGTATTAACTTCTTCCTTTAATAAGGAAAGAGGAGGTTCCTACAATCCTGTTTTGCAGTAACTCTTGGGATAGGATAATTTTTATTTCTCTAGAATGAAGTGTTAAGACCAACCTTGATTCAAGACCATAGGCTAGAGGATTTTCCCAGTCAGCCAAAGATCTCCTGAAGCAGTGCTTCGAAAACACTAGTTGGTTCATGAAAAAGCATTCACTGTCCCACAGTGAAATACAGTGATTTTTATCAAGCTGGGTTTCCTCCACTTGAAGAACTGCCCTTTACTTTGAGATGATGTCTTAGAAGAATTTTTTAAGGTCCTTTCTGAACACTTTAAGAATTACAGAGAATTCCATACATATAAAATAGGTAATATAAGGTACTGTCAAGTAGATGTGTCATTCAGCTTTGACAATTGTCAACTGAGTCTCATTGCAAACACATTGTATCAGCCTGTGTAGTTGTTTCTACCATCTCCCCCTACTGCCTCGCCCTGTGTTGGATTTTTTGAAGCATGTTTCACATCCTGTCACCAAGTTGCTTGCTTAAAAATGAAAATGACCTTATTGCAATATGAAAACATTTGCATCTCAATAACTGCTTTTAAGAATTTCACCAATTGCTTTTAAGAATTTCACAAAACCCCCAAATCTGGGAAGTTTACATTTTTCCGTCTTGAGGTGGACATCCTAATTTTTCTTACCATTTAGTGAAAGGAGTAGGTTCTTCAGGATTTCCTGGTTTCTGGTGCTCTTTCCTAATGAATCTCCCCTCTCTAAGGTCTTATGTTGACAGTAGAACCCAATACCTATGGCCTTCGTAAGCTCTGTCTTTTTTAATTAAAATGAACCTCATATTGCAACCTCCCAACTTTTGTAATTGGCTTGTGTCCTTTATGAAGACACAACAAATAAGGTGAATTCTGACAGAGAGAATGGCTAACTCTGGGGAAACTATATCTAGGAGGCAATTTAAGGATGCCGAAAGAGGCTGGCGATATTGTGTGCTGTAGACAGGTGTGAGGAGGCAGTGTGGGCAGAAGAGATTACAATTACATTTTTGGAGTCCTGAAATTATATTATTGGTCTGACTGAATATTTTTTTAAATGACATAGAAGGAAATTAGTTGGGGACTTTTATAGTGCTTAGAAATTCTTTAATTGGTGGCTATTTATAAAGCCACCGCTCCATCCAGTGGGAAATGGCCCCATAACCAAACCAAGGTGACTCTCGGCCTCCAAGCCAATTCTTTGCTTAAGTTTTCTTGCACTTTTCACAGAACGAGCTTACTTTTCAACCTCCTATTTTTCCTCACCAGCTCCTTCTACCCTTAGTTTCCTAGCTTCTTCCTCAGGATATATTTACCAGTAAGGAAGACATGTTAGTAAATCAAGCCAATTTGGTTTCCCTTTCTTTGTTTCCACTATCATCCTTTGATCAGATTTCTTGCTTGCTTACTTTTTACCTCTAGATTCAGATTTTTAAACTGAAGGAAGGAGATTGGATTACACTCTTCTTAAAAGCCTCTGATTACACTGGTCAGCAAACGGTAGCCCCAGGGCCAGATAAGATTCTAAAATAGGCTCACCAAGAGTTCTGTAAATAAAGTTTTATTGGAACACAGTCACACCCATTCATTAATCTATTGTCCATGGCTGCTTCCTCTTCCTCCACAGTGACAGAGCTGAGCAATTACTACCAAGATTGCAGGACTGTGAAGCCTAAAACTTTTACTAATGCCTCATACATAATAGGCACCCACAAATATTTGTTGAAAAAAACATTTCTTTTCTTTAAGGCAAAAATTAGCTGTTTCCCAAATTAACTTCACTTGAATCCCTCAGGAGAGTTTTCAAACCAGTTGCCCCTATCCAAGAGACTTGAGTTTCTAGTTTCTAGTTAGTAGAGTTGAAATTTAAGGATACTTCTTGTGGGGGATAAAAAGGTGCCTGGTGAGGGAAAAGTACACATTCTTTATTTGGTCCTTCAATGATCTGCTTGTGTGCCAGGCTTCTTTCTCATTTCAGTTCTTTCTCTGGATGGCTCTGAGGATTTCAGTTAAGTGGTCTGGAACCCTCTACCACCTCTGACTCTGGAGAGTCAAAGTCATTGCCTGTTGTTATTGTCAGCCCTTAGTTTGGAAGGGAATTTAAAGGGTCTAGTCCACCTTCTTACTAAATGTGTAAATCATCTGTGTTATCTAGCATATGCTCATGGTGTGAGTTAGCCCTCATCTACAATGCAGGTCTGTTGGGAGGGTACCCTTCGGACTGACTGGACTGAATGCTGTTTATTTGGTAAATACTCTGGCTCTTGGGAACCACTACTTAACTCTTAGTCATACACCACTGACAGGACAAGGACAGCTTCAGGCTCTAGACATTTTCCTCTACCTCACGGATATGTATGAAGATACATCAATCTGATAGGCATGCCTAGTCTTTTCAAAATACTTCATTACAAATCCCAGGTACCATTTTTTAACCTGTAAACCTTCCCAAATATAATCCTTTCGATTCAGCTGTTTCTTTGTACTGAACACGTCTTCAAGCTCTCTTCAGTCACAGATTCTAGTTGACCAATGTCAAGAACTCAAGTTCATGGAAGACAAGTGCCCAGTTCTGCCTGGGGGCAGTCTCCTTGGTGGTGTGGCTGTACAAGCCCAGCTCAAGGCTCTTATTTCCTGCTGCTTGATTAATCCTTGTTTTCATGTTGATTTCTAGCTCCTCCAAGGACAACTATCAAAACTATGACAACTTGGCCAACCACCACGACCAAGAGAACTTGGCCAACTGTCACCACCAAGAGAACCAGGCCAACCATCACGACCAAGAGAACTAGGCCAACTGTCACCACCAAGAGAACTAGGCCAACTATCACCACCAAGAGAACTTGGCCAACCACCACGACCAAGAGAACTTGGCCAACTGTCACCACCAAGAGAACCAGGCCAACCACCACGACCAAGAGAACTTGGCCAACTGTCACCACCAATAGAACCAGGCCAACCACCACGACCAAGAGAAGTAGGCCAACTGTCACCACCAAGAGAACCAGGCCAACCACCACGACCAAGAGAACTTGGCCAACTGTCACCACCAAGAGAACCAGGCCAACCACCACGACCAAGAGAACTTGGCCAACTGTCACCACCAAGAGAACCAGGCCAACTGTCACCACCAAGAGAACTAGGCCAACTATCACCGCTCATCCAAAGCCAGGACCCACAAAGAAACCCCAGCCAGGTAAACAGATATGTTTCTGAGTCTAGAGAGCTTTTACTGAGAGGGTGTAGACCATCCAGGGCCTTGTGTTAAGGCAGAGATACAATCTAGGGGAAGGGTTGATATCTGGGTTCCAAATGTGGCTTCATAGAATCTGTGAAGCCCTGTCCCCCATTGTATTCATCTTTTGTGCATACGAGCATTTTGAGAGCGAAGCCCAGCACAAGCTCTTGTTTCTTGCTGCTTGACTCCTTGCTTTCCTGTTGATTTCTAGGTCCACCTACCAGGCCTCCAATGACAACTACAACTTGGGCCAACACCACCGCCCGTCCAAAGCCAAGACCCACAAAGAAACCCCAGCCAGGTAAACAGACGTGCTTCTGAGCCCAGGGGGCTTTTACTGAGAGGGTGTAGACCATCCAGGGCCTTGTGTAAAGCAGAAGTAGAATCGAGGGGAAGGTTATTGCCTGGGTTCCAAGTGTGGCTTCACAGAGACTGTGAAGCCCTGTCCCATATTATATTCATCTTTTGTACATGTAAGCATTTTTAGAGTGAGGGGGTAACAATAGCTTTTTGTCAGATTCTCAAAGGAATTCAATAGTAGCAAAAAGAAAAAAAAGTCCAGCTCATTGGCCTCAGCCATCTAAGCAGAATGGTGTGGATTTGGCCCACAGCATTATGAAGAAAAAATAGGGAATGCCAGAATACAGGGGCAGAGGAATGAGATTCTGTCCACACAAGGAGCTCTGAATAGCAGTCATTTAATCCCTTCTCAAGTCTAACCCAACACTTGAGGATGAGATTTCAGCAAGGTTAGTGTTTACTCTGTTTCCTGTGTCAGGAACCAAGTTAAGTGCTTTACAAGTATTATGTCACTTATTTCTTAGGACACCCATGTGCACTGTGGGTGTGATTCTTTGCTACTTTATACCTGTGCTGATCGAGGCACAGAGTCAAAGCTCAATGTTGACAGTCATACGAATAGAAAGTGGTTGAGTCTGGATTGTCTCCATTAATTTGAATTTTGGACCTGTGCTATCCTCTATACTGAACACAGAGCTTATGTTTGGATGAATTTGTCCTGTTCTGATATCCTCGCTGGAGAGGCCTTCGTACAATTACCCTGACTTTTCAGGGTGTCAGTGACTTACACAGTTTTGCTTCTAGTATCCTTTAATTTAGTAACGTAGCACAGAAACGTTATTTATACCAATGAAAAAGTAAATATCGAATTTAAGGACTTATGGGACTTCAAATACACACGTTTGTTTTTTTCAGTTCAGGCTATTCAGTTCATACTTCAAATTTCCGATAGATAAAAGTTTAGGTTTAACGCAAATGGAGAATAATTGGACTTACAGATAGGAAAGTAGCTTTCCATTCTGAGGACAAGTTTGGGTTCAAATTTTCTATTTTTAAGGCTGAAAATAAAACTTTTTAGTGAAGATTCTCAAAGACTCCAACGCCTTTGGAACTTTGAGGTGGCTTTGGATTCTGAGGAGCAACAGACATGTCACAACCTCTTAGCTAAAAAATATCTGATGGAACATACTGATTTCCCTCGACTCCCACTGCACCATGTGTATATTTAACTAGGAGGGATCTGAAGGACTGGGCTATGAACTGAGTTTGGAAGAGAGGGCTGTAGGTTAAAAGTGGAATTTTGGAGCCATAAAAGTTTGTTAGGAAAACAGCTTTGTTCTAGAGAATCTGTTAACTTTCTTGTTACTGATTTAGCTTCTTCATACTTAGTCTGTGCCCGCAAAGGTGGATTAGAGCATGTGGTTTGGTGACCACGTCTAAGTTACTGACTTTGTTTAAAGCAGAGGTTCAGAAGGAAAGTGCTGGTCTCTGTGTCTGTGTGACCTCCTTGGGGATAGTATTCATTGATTCTGGTACTTACCCTGATAGTTTCCGAAAGAGTTTGTGTTTAGAGTTGAACTTTACAGTATAAGAAGGAAGTGAACACTGGAGCAGATCCAGGGCAGGGACATTTACCGTTACCTCCACTCCCTCTCTGTGCTCTGTGTACCTTGTACACACTAGTTGCCTAAAATATTCATGGACGGATTGGATATAAAGTTGTGGGAGCACTGAACTCATGCCCAGCAGGTAACTTTAGTTTCTCTCCTGAACACCTAGGATCATCGGGGGAGGGGATAGCTTAGTGGTAGAGTGCCATGCTTAGCATGCACGAGGTCCTGGGTTCAGTCCCCAGTACCTCCATTAAAATATATATACACCTAATTACCTCAACAAAACAAAAACAAACAAAAACTCTCATCATCACTGGCACCCTGTTAAGAGCATGCATTCTGGAATGAGATAGATCTGACTTCAGTGCTGGCCCTGACTACTCCGACGAGCTTTGTGACTTGAACAAATGTCTTATCCTCTCTGAATCTCTTTTTATCATTTGTAAAATGGATGGAATGTTGCCAATCTTGTAGGATTCTTGCCAGGATTAAATGAGATAAAGAGCTTGGGACACAGGTAAAAGGGGGTAAGTGATAGATATAGTGGCAAATAGGACTATTACTTAGAATGTCCAGAAATACATACCCCTGGCTGGTGCGGGTAGCATGTACGATTTGGAAATGTCCATGTGCACATCCGCATTTTTCTCAATTAAATGAACTAGACTTGACTTTAAACTTATTACTGGACTTGCTCCCTTGGGCCAGCACCTTATAACAATTAAATCCAAATTAAGCTGGTCTGAACCAAACTGATCACCTGTATTTATGCTTCCTCTAAGCCCCAGACCCTAAATACACCCAGGAGGCGCCCCCTGGCTATCGTACTGAGCTTTCATTTCACACGGACACTTTGAGCTGGGTTGAGGATGCCAACCCAGGCTCCGAAGAGGCATGTCCCTCTGAGATTCTGCTTTTCCTCTCTGAAAAGTCTTCCCCGCTCTTCCCAGTCTGGGCAGGTCCCATATTCCTTTGAAATATAAGATTGGCCTGTCTTTCCTGTGGTGGAGACAGGTGATACTGAATCCTGTCATCTTTCCGAGATAACTCCATTACCCATGGTGGTAAACTGGGGGAGCGGCACACACTAAACCCCTTTTTAATGCTGAGCTGGCTTCTGTGTCCTTGTGCCTGTGCTGTATCCAAACAAAGTCACGTTTTGCAAGACTCCTCGTGGGTATGACTCATTGTACTCAGGAGCTGCCACTCTGTAGGGGACCCGCAGTATGGCGGACCTTCTGCCAGTCATTCCTGGAAGTTGGCTGATGTAAAATGGACCTGCAGTGAGACTCAGAGAGGGGCCGATTCAATTGGGATTAGTTAATGGGGACATTTGGTTTTGAAAGTGGAATCCTTAGTGGGAACTGTTTCCGGGCACAAAAACAAAGTGAAAGTGGATAAAAATACAAGGTAACAGCAGGAGGAGCAGCTGCAACCCACACTCTGAGGCTGTGAGGAGGAAGACAAGAGGAGTGGGCAATCGTTCCTTAAAATACGTCACTAAAACCTAGTCAAGGTAGAGCTTCCCAGAGCGGAACAGACGTTGGAGCAGCCGCGTCCCCACGGCTTAAGGGACTTCTGCCGTCTTGGCAGGGTCTCTGAGGCTCTCCGGCCAAATGCTTACTGTGCCCGAGCCAGACTTCAGTGAGCTAAAGCCTCCCAGAAGCAAAGAACATTAGTCTGGAAGGAATTTTGGTCGTCATCTTGCCTGCCACCCACCTTTTGACGGATAGATGTGCAGCAAACTCACACATTATCTCATTTAATTATTTTGGGGCGGGCCTTGTTTATTGCCATTGCCAGACTGTGGCGGGGGGTACCCTATAGTTCAGCTTTGGAGACAGACAGCTTCCAATTCAACTGCCAGTTACTAGCTGCGTGCCTGTGGGCAAGTCGTGGTGTGTTCCTTACAGGATGTTTGTGAGGGATGAGGGCCATGATGTTTGCAAAGTGCATTGCACAGCGTCCCTCCCCCATTGCTCCCTCAAAGATTAGTAATAGCTCTGATATTTGTCTCATATGGTGCTAAGTGCTTTACCTGCACCATCTAATGTGACAACTTGATGAGACGGGTGCTATCAACATCTTATAGTTCACGGTTGCCCCAGCTAGAAGTATAAATATATATATATTTTTATAAATACACACACACACACACACACACACATACACATACATACATAAATGTGTATGCGAAGGACCTTGATCAAGGTCATATTGCCAAGGGACAAGATCAGCACTGAACTCAAATTTTGTGTGATTCAAGTCCATGCTGGTTTTACGTCACCCATTCAATACCCGAGGGACTTACTTAAGGTTAGAACATAAATCATAAACAGAGCCTAGACTGTAGATATTGTCTTTTGTTTTTAATTGACAGTTACAATGTGTCCATTTCTGGTGTACAGCACAATGTCCCAGTCATGCATATATTCGTTTTCATATTTTTTCATTAAAGGTTATTACAAGATATCGAATATAGTTCCCTGCACTATGCAGAATAAATTTGTTTTTTAAATCTATATTTATATATAAAGGGTAACATTTGCAAATCTCAAACTCCCAAATTTATCCCTTCCCACCCCCTTTCCCTGGTAACCATTCGATTGTTTACCATGTCTGTGAATCTGTTTCTGTTTTGTAGTTGAGTTCATAGTGTCCTTTTTTCATTTTTTTTTTTTTTAGATTCCACATATGAGTGATATCATATGGTATTTTTCTTTCTCTTTCTGGCTTACTTCACTTAGAATGA